TGAGGATTAAGCGGTGTATAGAAAATGGATGGATGGATAATCTGTTTGGAAGAGTGAAGGTGAGGCCTTTAACCCTAAGAACACTATACCCACCATCAAGCATGGTGGTGGCAGTACTATGCTCTGGGACTATTTTGCTGCAAGCGAAACTGGTGCTACACAGAGTAAATGGAATAATGAAAAGGAAGGATTACCTCCACATTCTTCAGGAAAACCTAAAATCATCAGCCAGAAGTTTGGGTCTTGGATGCAGTTGGGTGTCCAACAAGACAAAGATCCCAAATGCACATCAAAAAGGGCAATGAATCAAGGTTTTAGACTGCCCTTCTCAAAGTGCGGACTTAAACCCCATCAAGGACATGTTGACTGTGATAAAGAAACAAGTCTGCGTCAGAAATCCAGCAAATTTATTTCAACTGAACCAAATCTGTCAAGAGGAGTGCTCAAACCCAGAAGCTTGTGGTGAAAATGCCCATAAGACATTCAAGTAAATAATATCATCGTTGTGTATTTTTGACCAAGCAGATTTTGTCATTATTTCTAGTAGACTTTTTTTTTTTAAAATCTATGAAATAAACAAAATACATGACTGGTTTTTTTTGTTTTTTTGTGACAAAGGTGCATGGGTTTTGATGATTACATCACATCAGGTAAGGAGTGCAGTGGTTGGCATGCATGTGACTGCGGTTATAACAATGTTTCAGGAAAATTGCTCCAGGTGACAAACTGTTGAAGGATGCCTTCAATTTGGCACAGTGTCTGGGAAAACAAACAAAGCTGCTGCTGTGTTGCTCTGAGGGATTCCTGTTTTGTGCTGCTACAAGGAGAAACAGCGCCTAAAACAGCACTTTAAAAAGTTCTTGGCCTCACCCAGAAACAAGAGGTGTAGCTCTCATTTTGGGGCAAAACTGTAAACTGTAAAACTTTACGTCACTGTCTGACAAACTCAAATGTTTGTTAGCAATCAAAAAAAAAAGGAGAGGAAAGCTTAGAGCTAGCTGCTGTTGCTCCAGGACAATGTGTCTGTCCAAACAGCACAGGTGGCAGAAGCAGCCACATGCGACTTTGAACTGTTGCCTCATGAACCTTAGTCATCTGACCTGCTGTTTAGGAGCATCAATACTTGACCCTTTTCCACGACGAGATAGCAAAGCTCAGTGGAATTGAACTTGAAGTCGAAGGAGACTATGGTAAAAATGAATGCTGGAACAACCTTTCACCTGTGACGTTTTTCATTGAGGCCAAGAAATTTTTAAAGTGCCTTCGTACATCACCTGTTCTTAAAAAAATCATCACACAATAGAATGTGCGTCCTCCATTGGAAGCTGCAGTATTTGCAAGAACTTACAACATAATAAGATAGGAACACTGTAAAGTAATTTTACTGTAAACTAATTGACAATCACCCTGTAAGCCTAATGTTTTTTTCATGCACAGGAAAATAAATTGGTCTTTCTTTGACCTCACTCCCTTTGGGTATGACGACTATTTCAGCCAGCACACAGGCGTGATTTTACCGGCCATGAACAGGAGTTAAGTAAATCCTCACTCATCGTCTAGAGGTTGCACAAGGTTTTCAATCAGATATCTTCCCACGATGGTTTGTTAAAGAGATAATTTTGCAGACGGAAGTTATTAAAAAAAAAAAAACTGCTGTATTGCCACACAGGTTTTTTTTTTTTTTTTTTCTTTCTTTAGATTTCACAGAGAATGCAACTGAGTCATTCACCGATAAAGTAGAGTGTTGACACACCCACTTATTCAAGGTCTTTCAGTCGTTTTGGCAGGATGTCAGCCAGTCTCACAAGGTCATCATCTACAATTTATCCAACAATCTTGAAGGATATGCAGACTACTGTTGGCTGGTTTTGCTTTACTCTATAGTCCAGTTCATTTAATTTGGTTATAAGTTGTGTAGTTGTAGAGGCCAGGTCATGTGATGCAGCCCTCCATAACTCCCCTTCTTGGCCAAAGAGGAAGAGGCCAAAAACTTAACCTAGCTGGGATAGTGCGGCAGAATGTTACAGTCACTATGTTGGCTAAGTGTTGTCTTGAGTTCTGAATAAGTCTCCAACAGTGTTGCCAGGAAAGTCCCTTTACACCATTACAGATCTTCCTCTTTGCTTCACAGTGAAACCACACATGCAGATACCATCCGTTTACCTCCATCCGTTCACGAAGATGCCACAACCACAAGCAAAAATCCCACATTCGGATTCACCAGACCAAAGATTCAATTCTCGCCGGTCTAATGTCATTTCCTTGTGGGCCAGAGCAGTTCTCCCGTTCTTCTTGGTCTCCTTCGGTAATGATTTCTTTGCAGCAGCTCCATTATAAAGGCCCAATGCACAGAGTACAGTGGTCAAATAGTTGTCTCCTCCGGACATCCAATGTTGAGATGTGTCTGCTATTCAAACTCTGAGAAGCATTGATGGATTCTAATTGTAGTTGTCATTAATTGGCAATTTCTGAAGCTAGTAACTCTAACTAACTTTTCCTTAGCAGCACTGGTAACTCTTTTAAAAGTTTTTTTTAGTCTTATATTTGATCATGCATGCCTGACATACGGCAAAGAACTTAGCCTTAGTACATGGTGCATGAACTCTACTAGGTGAGCTACTAAGGTGCCCGGCAGAGGAAAATCTTGGACTTCCTTTACAGGGATCATCCTCATGAGAGTCAATTGATTCATTGTAGTATCTGATATTTTTCGTAAAGTAAAGATGGTCTGTCTTTTTTCTTTGTCTGGTTAAGTAAGAAATGTCTGCAGTGGTTTGCAGGGCTGTACACCAGAACTACCTCACATAAAACAACTGTTTGTGTCAAGCACATTAAGAAGGCAAGATATTTTCTGAATAAACGTTTAAAGAGGCTCCCCTGATAATTGGAAAGGGGACGACCCTATAAAGCTGGTTATCAAGCGTGTGCAAAGCTGCCATGAAGGCAAACAGTGGCTACCTTGAGGATTCTAAATATGAAACAGTTTGATTGGTTTAACACTTCTCTGTATGTAGTGATTTTTATAGTTTTAGTTTTCTTCTGGAAAGTATTAAAGAGTAACAATAACAGAAAATCCAAGTGCATAGGTGTGTCCAAACTGTTGACTTGTTCTCTAAATTAGGACTACAGACGGACTCAGAACTACAGCAGACAGCCAGTTATGAGGACCCTTAAGGATGTATAGTATGCATGTTTTAGCACTACAACAAGGAGTTATTAACTGCATGGATGTTTCTGGATAATGATAGTGTTCTATTATGGCCAGTCATGAATCTGCAATTATTTATCGATTGTACGTATTGTTGATAAAAAATAATATTAAAAAAATGTTAATGGAAATCGTATAAACCACAATCAGCAGCAAGTATCAATAAATTAGATATCACAACATAGACATGCAATGCTATCTGTGATAAATGCTGTCTAATTAACCAGTAAGCAGGCGACCTGCAGGGAAATCTGCTGCACCTAACACCACTCTCAAACTGCAACATTCAAACAAACAGGGATTTACCCCAAACCCTCACTACAGATCCAGTTTTAACCACACAGTCGGTAGGTGCAATCAAAATCAGCTTAGTTTGACAAATCTGTTTTGTAATGAATCTGGCACTAGAAAAGAAAAGGGAATACTGTGTTACTCTGTTGGAAACTTTTGACATTCTCCAGCCGCATTCTGACACGAATACTTTCCAGGCCAACCTCATCAAGATGCCACGTGTGCCTGTGAGGGTTTGTAAGCTACACATAAGAATCAAAGCGTCTGCATTTAAGTACAATAGTGCTCAATGTTAATGCAAGCATAATTGTTAAGGAAATTTTCAAAGCTGAACAAGTACTCAGTCACAAAAAAATGTCCTTTCTGAGTTTTATTGAATACACTTGCGCAAGTGGACCAAGTCAGAATCTGCAGCTGAATGAATGTCTCAGCTCTCTCACCAAACATCTTTGTACTTTTTTGATGGAGCTAGTTACATTATCCTCGCCTATTTCTCGATTCTTTGAAGAACACTAGCTTTTGTACCCAATAAACAATGTCCTCTATTGCAGACATGAGTTCTCATGATTGTGTGGGTCTTATTTGCTGATGCTCATACAATTCATGACCTCTTTTTGGAGTATCACAACATACATCAGTGAAATAAAGACATCAGTTGTGCATTTGCATCATCAAAACACCTCTCCATGTATAGCTGGGGAAAAACCCTACATTCCAACACCACATCAGCAGTAGATGTCTCAAAGAATACTAAGGAAACAGATCACATGAGCAAGTGATGAAACTGGCAAATAGTAAAGTAAGCAATTACATGGGTAGATGATAAAACAAAATTTCCCTCACAATGCTCACGATGATAATGTTAACATGCCAAGTGTCATGTTAACCATGTTCACCATTTTGGATCATTCATGTGATAGCATGCCAACATTTGTTTGCTAACACTAAGCACAAAGTACAGATCTATCGCTGTAAATATGAAGACTACTGCACATATTATGTCATGACAATCAGAAACTTTAATCCAGTGGTCATTGGCATATAGTTAGGGGTTAGCAAGGTTTTTTCAGTTCCTTCTCTTGGAAAAATGGATGTTTGTATAAAATTTCACGGCATTTCCAGATAATAATTGTTGAGATATTTCAGTCTCGACCAAAGCTGTGGATCACCTGTGTCTGTTTCCTGCCAATCAACTGACCAACATTGGATTCCCTGGTGCTTTAAAACATTGAATTTGGGCCACATATGCCTGTTTCCTACTCATCAAGCAACCAGCATCTACTTCCCCAGTCCTTCAAAACACTAACGTAGGCCACAAATGTCTGGTTCCTACCAACCAGCTGACTAACACTGCTATTCTTGGTCTCACAAGACACCAGTACAGGCCACTTACAGCTGTATCCTACTAATCAACCGGCCAACATTCACATCCCCAGTCCCTCAAATCATTGGTGTCTATTTCTGGCCACCCATCGCTGGCGTCTTCAATCCCTGACAACACTAGATGTGGGCCACCTTTGTCTAATTTCTACCAATCAACTGACCAACATCACCATTCCCAGTCCCTTTATGTATCAAAACATTAGTTACATGCCCCCCTATACCTGTTTCCTGCGATCCCCAGTCACTCTAAACACTGGATTTGCAGCCACCTATATCTGTTTTCTACCAACCAAACAACTAATATTCATATCCTACACCTGAAACTTCCTATCAGCTAGTTAGAACTAAAAAAAACAAACAAACAAAAAACACTATATATTGGCCATCTGTGTCTGTTTCCTACCAGTCAACTGACCAACATTACTCTTTCTGAATTTATTAGATACATGGCAAGTATATTTGTTTCCTACCAATCAACTGGCCAACAGTGGCATCTCCAAACCCTTAAAACACTAGATACAGTCCACCTGTGTCTGTTTTGTGGCAATCAGCTGACCGACATTGCCATCCCTAGTCCCCCAGACCTTTAAAACACAAATGTCAGGTTCCTACCAACCAACTGATCAACATTGCTGTTCTTGGTATATGGTTTCCTTTTTTTGTGTCAGACAATGAGTATTTTTTAAGTAGGAGCTGTTTTTACCTTGACGTGTTTCGACCGACACTTCAGTGTTCCTCACTGACGTCTGTGGTGACGTGTCTTTATCAGCTGGTGGTTTCCTGGAGGAGGTGTGACCCGCCTGGCAATCTGTCAGATTTGCCTGACGGGTCATGCCTCCTGCCGCCCGGTGGTCTCTGTAGGAGAGCGTCCCATGTGTGGGACAGCATGAATGTCCCCTGACAGATTGCCAGGCGGATCACACCTCCTCCAGGAAACCACCAGCTGATAAAGACACGTCACCACAGACATCAGTGATGTTTCTGAGGAAGATTGAAGTGCCAGTCGAAACATGTCAAGGTAAAAACAGCTCCTACCTAAAAATACTCATTGTCTGATCAAAAAGGAAACCGCATACCTATAATCAGAGAAGACAAAATGAACCTAATCACGCTATTGCTATTGTTACTCCAGTGTTGGTCACCTTGGTCACCTATCCGCTAACCGGCCAACATTGGCATTCCAATTCCTCAAAACACAAGATACAGGCCCCCTGTGTCTGTTAACTACCATGTTTGAATAAACTTTTAAAATCTGTTAAATGAAACACTGAGATTTGTTTTTTCTTCTAGTAATTGTTTCACATCTGAATCCTGCAGTAATTATTAAATCAGTAAAGTTCATAAAGCTAAGACTGTCTGGCTGATGTGAGCACTATGTTGATATTATTACATCATAGTATCATTTCAAGTTTTCCGTAAAGTGTTGCTCACAGATTTTTGTGCTTGATCCACAAGTTTTAGGCAACCAGGAGGAAGTAGTGTAAGTCTTTTGAAAGTGCTTTTTTCATTCTTGTGGGATCAAACTTGCGAAATACTAAATGATCACACCGCTGAGGGAGTAAATATAAAATCAAGAAGGCAGTTAGATGGACGGGCCAAGTGTGTCTTGGCCTGTCTGTTATTTATAAGTCATGGCTTCAATTTTAACACGAGCTTCTGAATACTGTGGCATAATGTAAAATTAATTCCAAGCTGTAAATGGAAATGTGATCATGCACAGCAACATATAGCGATGTGAACCCACAGTTAAATACAAAAATGTTTCAATAATTATATATTGTAAAACGCTTAAAAATATGACAGTTCCGCAAACAACCAAAGTGTCTGCTTAACGGCTTTCAGCTTTTACGTGCTGTCCTTTGTACTTCCTGTGGTTTCATGTTCAAAACTGAAGAGCAAAGCAGTATCACCGTGAAGTTTCAAAGTTCAGTCCCATAAAAGAGGCTAGACTGCCAGTCAGTTGATTTTATAGCTCAATTACCTGTTTAGTGATGGGAATTCAACAGACATGATGACAGGATTGGTAAGTTTTGTGCTGGATAATGCAAGAATAATGTTGTCAGATGTCGCTGGCCTCAGTATTTCAGCACGACATGATGGATGTAGTGAATAAAAGCGTATTTAAGATCTATTTAAAGGTTTTAAATGCATCGCACTGAAACTTAGAAAGATAAACCGAGGGCTTGCTTTAAATAACCGGCCATAAAACTTGGGGTCATAAACTAGAAACGATAAAATCCTTTGCTCTGATTTTGATTCATATGTTCCAGGACGTAAGGTTGAAAATGACCAAACAGTGATCTGAATAGTGAGCTCAAAGTTTGGCATGTTTTTGTAATAAAAGTGGAAGCATGGATGTGGTAGGTATAGAATTAAAGTGGATCGAGGTAGATGACGACACACATGGCAAAGTAATAATTAGTCTGTGCTTCACTATGTGTGTCACTCAAAGCAACTCATTTAGCGAAAAGGTGAACAAAGAAGCTGCTCAGATTGATCAAAGGTGAAGCTGAACGGTTGTTCAATCTGAGCAGCTCCTTTGTTCACTTTTTAATTCAGATATAATTTGTATTTAAACCTGTTTATATTATTTACCCGAACTGATCTTCGTAAAATTTGTCTATTGTAATTTTATGTTGATTTTAATCTGGTGCAGCTTAAAATATTTTTGTTTTATTTTATCCATTTGCTGTTGTTTTATTTCAAAATGAGTTACTTTGAGTGATGCACATTGTGAAGCACAGACTTTTTATTACTTTGCCATGTGTGCCATCATCTACCTCGATCCACTTTAATTCTATATCTACCACATCCATGCATCCGCTTTTATTACAAAATCATGCCAGATCTTGAGCTCACAATTCAATTATTAACCTTCACATTATCATGGCTGTCTTTGTATGCCAAGGTGAGAACATTGTTATATAATCGTGTGGTGGAGCATGGGAGTTGGCTACTTTAAACAAGAGGACAAGACCAAGATATGATTGTTGTTTGGCTGATTTGAGGATTTCTGCACACAGTAACACATGCATGGGTGTCGAAACTGTTTCTACCGTCACCAGATATAAACTCACACATGTGGGCGAAAGTTTTACTCTCCAAGTTTAAACTTGTAGCAGCAGTCAGTCGTCTTTTTCCTGATACCAAATTCCCAGGAAAACTGCGTGTGCGGCAGTTTTTTTTAATTTTTTTTAAAGCAATGATGGATATCTTCCACACGCATCGTGGAACATGCTGCCTTGGAAATATTTCAATGAAAACCTGTTGTTCTATTTTTAGAAATATCATAAGCCAATCAAAGTGAAGCAAGACCAAAATTTCCCGAATGTTAAAACTGGTATTGTGAGACAAAGCACGCCTTAACTTTTGTCGCCTCTGTATCGTAACCAGGTAGTATCACGTACTACCTTGCAAGCAGGGGCCGGTTTTAGATGGCTGTAGGATGTGACACTTTCACTGATGAGGCAACCTGCTGCTGCTGCTACACATGCAGCATTTGTTGTGCTTCATTTCTGCTGACTCAATGTCACGAGGCTATAAAATACACTTTAGTCTGAACTCTTACTCTTGCAGGAGTTTTATGTTTAATCTCAACCTGGTCTGGTGAAGGAGACAAAATAACTTATTTGCATTTTAAGATTTTTCCAAATGTCTGATCCACAGAGCTCAAGGTTGCTCATTTTGGCTTCACAGTTGTGGAATTTGGTGATGCTGTTTTTGTCACGTGGAAAGTGTAGTCTGGGGTTTAAGGGGTTAAGCGAGTGTGAAACTGCAGCCTAAAGCTCTCAGGTGTACAAACAGCAACACCACGTCACGTCCCTACACAACATAAAAGAGAGCTCCGTCCTTGGCTCACTTTCGCTTTTGGTTAAACAGCCTGCAGGTACTGATGATGAAACTGTGCACTCTCACAGCAGCCACACACAGACACACAAAGGGGAGGGATAGACTGAAAACAAAGATGTGCCACTTATTGCAAAATGGAAACTTTTTTTCAAGTATTTATTAGTTTCATCACAACAGGTGATCTGTGCCAAAGTTTACAGGAGGTAGCAACACTGTTTAATCTCTGGGTTAAAGAGACACGATTACATCATGCAGGTCTTCTGTGACAAACCCTAGTGAAAACCAACAGTCTGCTTCGGCTCATTTTGGCAACCGAAGCAACGCCGTTGTTCATTTTTTCACTGGGTATCTCTAAAATCCAAATGAACTGTTTCTCTAGTTTGAGTTTACAGTCTGTATAAAAGGTTTTATTTTGAAATCAAGACCAACCAGTGTTAGCAAAACTGACACTTAACATGACACTGTTCAAAAAAACTGGCCCAGAAACCTGTATTATGGTTCAAGCATGATGTGCCACATGACATACTTTTATTTAAAAATATTATAGCTTAACAAATACAGCAAAACCAAAGATCCTTGTAGGGGATCAATCAACACTTAATAACCTTATGCATCATTTAGAAAAAAAAACAAACCCACACAATCTGCACCTGTAAGTGTAGGTACAATCAAAAAGAGAAAAAACTCCCACTTCATTCACATCCTCTTTGGTCTTTGCTCTGAGTCGTCTCTGTGTCAGTCAGTTTGCAGCACCAAATGTTTCAGTTTAGCTCCATAAACACCAGCATAAGATAAATCAGTTAATGTCCAGCAACATGTCAAATAAAGAGCAGGAATTTGGCCTCCTGCGTGTTAACGTTGCGGTCTTTAATAATGTGGTAATCCATGAGGAACATGTGATGGGACTGTTTTGTAGCCGCACGGCACACAGAGAGGTTAGGAGACTCACATCAGAGCTTGGCAGGAGGATGAAGGCACAAATAATACATTCATTTGGTACTATGCAACAAGTATAGTGAAATAAAGTACTGAAAAATCATCTTATATTAAAATTCGAAGGCACCTGAGGCGTGCACAGGCTTTCCAAGAAAAACCAAAACCCGTTCACAAGCAATGGCTTCAAAACAGGCCATCAGAGGGTTTTGTTACATTATTTTGAAAAGCAAAATCTGGTTAAATATTCACTCACTTTTACAAAGCTGTTAATTGTTCAGTCCAAAGAGTCAGTTCTAAAGCTACAACACCAGACAAGTTCTTCCTTTTACTCAAGAGTGAGCTGAACATCTTTGGATTGTTGGACATTTGGTTCAGCATGAAAAACTATCTAAAAAAAAAAAAGTTCCCTTAGGCACCAAGACACAGTGATGATGTGCATTTTCTGGTGTTGTACAAACCAAAAGATCAACAGAGAAGGACAATAATAGTCATTTGCAGCCTTAATCAAAATGGTTCAAGAACAGAAACCAACTTTAGGCTGATGCACCAATAAAAACATACAAGGCACTTGGTAAAGTGATATCCCCTCACCCTGTTTGTGGAGATTCCTTGTCATTTCTCGAGGCACAGTGACCTCAGCTGAGGTATAGTTACCAAAGAGAGAAGAATCTGTCAACACAAGTCATGCCACCAGTGTGAATCAAGCTTAGTGTGTCTGTAGTCACAGCGGCAGACCAACACAGATGAGCGCGGAGCTTCCTTCCTTCCTTCCTTCCTTCCTCAATCCAGCTCCGGCCTTCGTCCTCTGACAATGTTTATTGACCCTCATTAATGGTCACACCTATTCCCCAGCAGATAGCTCAGGCCCACCTTCGCTGTCTTCATCCTGAAGCCGTTTATGGGGTACAAGTGCAGTGTGGCCGACTCCTTCGCTCTGAGGTAGACGATACTTTGGAGCCCCCTGCAGACCAGCTCGGTTGTAGCCTGC